ACCCTAAAACCCAAAACCCCAAAACCCTGAAGCAAGCAAGAAGAGACTCAGGGCGAGCAAAACTGGGTCCTCATGTGCGACTTGCCCCGCAGAGATGGGTGAAAGCGGTGTTGCCGTAGCTTTTTTCAGAGGGGTTTAGGGTTTAGGTTTAAGGGTGTAGGGTTCAGGGTTTAGGGTTTAGGGGGGCCACGATCCGGTTGCCATTGTTGGGGGTTTAGGGTTTAGGGTACCTGGAGAACGTCTTCAAGAGTCCGGGTTCGAACAAGGGAGGACGTCTGAAACCTTATTTCTGGACTTTATTTAGGATCCGCAATCGAATGTAAGGCATACGGTATACTGCTTCGGATCTTCGAGTGGTTTGTAATGTTCCCTAAACCCTAAAAGCGGACGGAGCTGTGAACCTGATCGTCCTTACGAACTTACAGAAAAATGCCCGTTGGGGTCATCAGAGCCATCGGGTAAAGACTGCAGAGTAAACTCTACAGCTGCCCTACAAAACCCGAGCTAAGTTCTTAGGGTAGTTGCATGGTTCCTGAATATCTGGGCTCTTAGAATTGGGGAACCCTGATATGCCAAATTTACCCGCTTATATACCCTTGGGCGAAGGCAGTTTTCACACCTCAGGGCTTAGGATAGTTAAACCCTAAACCCTAAATTCCCTTTTTCGAGGGGTTCAGACTCGTACCCCTAAGCTTGTGCCCAAAAGGTTTCCCCCGCAATATGCTCCTAATATGGTCGTTATGCTGTACGAATTTACGCGAAAATTGCTCCGCGGAAGGGTCCGCGGAAGGAAGCTTTAAGAACATGCCCCGCGGAAGCTACCTTTCGAGGCGCGGAAGGTCCGCGGAAGGGTTCCGCGGCAGGTAAATTATTTTCCTCATCACAAAAAAACCAAGTCTCATCTATCTCCCTTAAACCCTATAGACCCCTAAACCCTAAACCCCTAAGCCCTAAACCCCTAAACCCCTAAAGCCCTAAACCTGCAGGTGGCCATCCCGAATGCAAGCTGCAGGTCCATTCGGCTGCTTGCCTTCTAAGGGGGCCTCGTGTTTCGAAGGGTCTTGGGGTGGGGTTTAGGGCTTAGGGCTTAGGGCTTAGGACTTGAGACTTAGGGCTTAGGGCTTGGGGTTTAGGGTTTAGGGTTTAGGGTTCAGGGTTTCGGGTTAGGGTTTGGGGTGGGCTTTTGATTTTTGAGCAGGGCTCCAGAAAATTCGTGGGTGGGGAGGGTTCGGCTTCAGGGGCTGCTAATGGTATGCCGGGGGGCGCGGGGGTTAGGGTTTTTTGGGTTTAGGCTTTAGGGATTGGGGTTGATGGCGCAGGGCTTCATAGGGTTCCAGAAGTTTCCTCAAACAGGGGGTCGCAAAGGTTTATAGCAGCTTTGGCGACTTTCAGGCAGTTTCAGGGACTTTCATGGCCTCCAACAACAATTCGAGGCTGCGGAAGTTCTGGGGGGGTTCCCAAGGGGTCCCACAAGGGGTCCCAGACCCCACGGAGGTCCCGCAAAAAACCACTGTGGGTGTGGTATTGGTGCTTTGCTTAGCCCGCCTGCCTTTGTGGGGAGGGGGAGGGGATGAGGGTTTAGGGCTTAAGGTTTGTGAGGGGCTCCAAGCTTAAAAGCTGGGCCAAGCACCACGAGTGCCAAAGCAGAGGTTCAAGAAGCAGGGGCAGGGCGAAGACGATGTCAGTTTGGGGGGTTTAGGGTTTAGGGTTTAGGGTTTAGGGTTTAGGGTTTAGGGTTTAGGGTTTAGGGTTTAGGGTTGGTGGGAGGTCTCTTGTGACGAGGCCATGATGCCCACCAAGAAACGTGCTGTCCATGCGTGCGTACCATGGCAAACTTTTGTTTGGCCAGCTTTTGGTCGCACCCTTCCCCTGCAAAGCTTAGGGTTTAGGGTTTAGGGTTTAGGGCTTAGGGTTTAGGGTTTAGGGTTTAGGGTTTAGGGTTTAGGGTTTAGGGTTTAGGGTTTAGGGCTTTAGGGCTTTAGGGCTTTAGAGCTTCTAGAGTTTAGGGATCAGGCTTCAATCATTTTAGTTTCTTTAGCCGCACGGACGCCCAGGACTCCTCCGTCTCAGCATATTTCTGCTGCGGCCACTCGGCCGAGAGTGTTCAAAAAGGGCTCAGGAAGGTTGATGCTGTGAGGGGAGATTTGAGGATTAAGGCCAGGGCTCAACGGCTTAAGGTAGGTTGTAAAGGGTTTCGGGGGAAGGCCCAATGGGCCTCAGGTTAGGGTTTTGAGTTTAGGGTTTAGGGTTTAGAATTTAGGGTTTAGGCTTCAGAATTTGGGGTTTAGAGTTTAGAATTTGGGGTTTAGGGTTTAGAATTCGGGGTTTAGGGTTTAGGGCTAGGGTTTAGGGTTTAGGGTTCAACCCGCAGTCTCGGCTCGCACCTGCTGATGCCGGCTGAAGTTTAGGGTTTAGGGTTTAGGGTTTAGGGTTTAGGGTTTAGGGTTTAGGGTTTAGGGTTTAGGGTTTAGGGTTTAGGGAAGCTTGAAGCCCTGAAGCCCAGAACGCCGCAAAGACCCCTGCAGCTCCGATAGCTTAGCAACCCTTGCCCCAGCACCTCCTACAGTACTTTGTGGTACTTTACTGTGACTTTAGATCCTTACCTTTTTTGGGTTTATTGGGTTTCTTACTAAGGCAGCTAAAAGTTTAATTTATAGCTACCCTCCTGAGTGCAGCCAAGAGTAAACCCCAAAAAGTTGGACAGCTTTTAAAGGACAAATTGTGCTGGGATTCCCGGTACTTCACTCTTAGGGATTGAGGCGATTGAAATTCCAACCATTTTTTGGCTTCTACTATAGGCCCCCAGTCATTTCAATTTTTCAGGGGTCAGGTACTTTCATAAAGGACGTGCCAACAACACCTAAACCCTACGAGCCTAAGACCCCTAAGAATCCAAGACCCTAAACCCCCAAACCCTCTTCCTCTCCTGCGCAATTCTGCAATTGAGTCCCGGGGCATGTTAACTTAAGCAGGAGCCGTACTGAGGGCGAGGCCTAACGTGGTGTCACCCAAAGAATCCCCTTAAATGAGAGCTGTAGTGACGACTTGAGTTGGTTTCACGGTGAGCCTACTTGGGCTCTGCAGGAGGATGGATGCTTGGGTTTGCCTCACCTGGCTTGTCCGAGTGTGAGCAGTGTAACCCCAAACCCTGAGACAACAAACCTTATAAACCCTAAACCCTAAACCTTGCCTGCTTGAGCGAACGCGAGAGCCGAAGCCCTAAAGCAAAGAACAAGAGCCGAAGGCAAGTGCAGCGCCGCCTTCTACGCGAAGCCGCAGGAGCTCTTGCAGAGCTTGGGTTCGGGTGTTTCGGGTTTTGGGTTTTGGGTTCGGGTGCCGTTTGCGGTCTAAGGGTAGTTGCAGGGTCCCTGAATCCTGGTGTCGTACCAGGATTTAAAGGGTTCTGAAGTATGTGCCCTTGGGTTTGATAAGGTATAGAAGGGGTGTATACGAGGTCCCCATTCCGAAGCCCAGACTAAGGGACCATTCTGGAATTGCAGGTAAGACACCATACTAATTGTCATGCCATAAGAGTTTTACATACTAGTAACACAAGATGGAGAAGCAAACGCCTACCAGAGCAACATGAACTGGGACCCAGAGAGCAGGCCTTTCTTTTTGTCTTTAGGGCTGGGGTTCCCTAAGCACCTTTAAACCAAACCGGGCGTGCACCCTTTTCACTCCTAGGTTACTCTGGAGCATGGGCCAACTAGCACTCCTAGGCACTAAGCTGACAACCCTCAACCCTAACCCCAAACCCTACCCCCTAATCGTCAACCCTAACCCTCAACCCTACACAGCCTAAACCCTCAACCCTAACCCTAGCACCCCCCCACCCCCTACCCAACCTTGACCCAACCTTCGCCCCTTAAGTCTCGGAGTCACAGAGGATGCTCCCAGCCATGGCAAGAAGTGCGAGCAGCTGCGAGCTCCCAAGGACGTCATCCAGGGTTTAGGGTTTAGGGTTTCGGGTTTAGGGTTTAGGGTTTAGGGTTAGGGGGTTTAGGGTTTGGGGGTTTAGTGTTTGCGGTTCAAGATTTGGAGGGCCTCGGGGATGTGTGCATGTCTTCAACCTACGCGCACATGCACACACACACAAACCTTTGACATGTAGGTCTCGGATCTTTGTAGAAGGGGAGGTACCGTTTGTTCTTTGTTCGTAATTGTTAGTCTGTTAGTTCCGCCTCCGTACGTTTCACCTCTGGCCCCCCCAGCCCCCCAGCCCCGCACATCTTCATCCCCCAGAAAATCCAGCCAAGGGACGAATCCCTAGGTAAGGCGTCTTAGCAGGGCGGAAACCCTAAGCTTCTAATAACCGTTTAGTAAGCCTTCAGCACCTTGGGGGCCAAATGAAGCCTAAAAGGGTTTTATGGTCCATAACTCCTTAGTAGCTGAGTGAGTACACTTTGCACTTTTTTGGGATACTATAACCCCGTACAGAACTGAAAGCTCACACTTTTTGGGGGGCTTTTGAACTTAGCAACTAAGGTACCATCATAGGAAGTATAGTAGTAGAGGGCAGGACCTCAACTTTTGGGTTCCTCTGGTCCCCCAAACCCTAAACCCTAAACCCTGAACCCTAAACCCTGAACCCTAAACCCTAAACCCTAAACCCTAAACCCTAAACCCTAAACCTTCGCGGCAGGACGCAGAGAAGGCCAAACCCCCCGAGACGGATCCCGGCACTGGAGGAGGAGATGACCCTTTGCTTGATATAAGGGTTTAGGGTTTAGGGTTTAGGGTTCGGGTTTTAGGATTTCGGGTTCAGGGTTTAGGGCTTAGGGTTTAGGGTGTAGGGTTTAGGGGTCAGGGTTTAGGGTTTAGGGTTTTCGGGTTTAGGGTTTTGGGTTCAGCGATGAGGGTCAAGGGCAAGGGGCTTTAGGACCTTCATGGGCTAATGGCCTTACGGTCCACCCCTAGGTTCTGGCACAAGGGTGTTGAGGGAGAAGCCCATTCCCCTCCCAAAAAGCGGCGACCCACGCATGCGGAGCATCCCAGGCATGGAAAAAGGGCCAGAGCTGGAAAGGCAAGCAGAACTGGAACAACTGGCAGGCTCGCGTGCTTAGAGGGTCTTGCCAGAAGGCTTTTAAGGGAGGGTGTAGTACCCAACTGAACAGTATCCCTAAGGTTTTCGAGATACTTTTTCCCCCCCCCCTCTTAAGGTTCCCAAAATACATCCTCCCCTCAGGCCGGTACCTCCGCCCTAAAGTTCCGCTTGTAGGCTTTATACCTCAGGCTTCAGGGTTTTTGGGCCGCAATACGTAGCGAGTTCCCCAGATGCACTGCAGCCTACCCAGCAGCCGTGGGCATGGCCATGCTTGTTTTGGAGGGTGCTGCTCCCGTCAACCCCCCAAAGCCTAGAAAAAGAAGTTGTTGCATGCTTTGGCCCCTTCCTTGCAGTACAGTACTCCAAGAGGGAGCCTAATTTAGAGAACTTAGGGTTTAGGGTTTAGGGTTTAGACCTAGGTTTTAGGGTTTAGGGTCCCCCCTGCGTTCCTTACCTTAACTTGGAACAGCGGAGAAGTTTTAGGGTTTAGGGATTAGGGGTGGCTCAGGGCAACAACAAGTGGGGCAACTGGAAGAAGCAGGAGGACACTCAGGACGGAGAGGGGTTTAGGGTTTAGGGTTTATAGGGTTTATAGGGTTTAGGGTTGACTGAACGCATGTTTACACCCTTGAAGACGGCAAAAAACCCGAAACACTCTATAAACCGCACCAACCCTGCACCCGCTAGACCTTATATGCCAAAAAGCCCTTAACTTTAAACGCCCCTCATCTGGATTTCTAGCCCCTTTTTGTGTTTTAGAGGTTGTTCCTCAATTTAGGTTTAGGGCTTCGGGTTCAGGGTTTAGGGTTTAGTGTCGAAATCTGATTCCGGGCGCGAGATGTCTCAACCCTGCAGCAAGAAAAAGGTTTGGGGTTTAGGGTTGGGTAGTTCTCTGGCTGATTGGCTCCTGCAGTCCAGATGCCAAAAAAAGGGTACCCGACCCTAAACCTAAACCCTAACCTAGTAGTAGAGTAGGTAATCTTGAGCCGTTTTTGGGTAATATACTGTAATCCCCTTATAATCCTAAAGGCTAACCTTTAGTTCCTCCAGGTTACTGGACAACTACAGTATAAACTCCAAAAAGTTGGAACATCCTTATCCCCGTACCCCCCAAAGTTATACAAAAGGGATTCCCCAGCTCTAATCATCCTTAAACCCCATGTTCCAACTTTCTGGAGAGGGTACCCAACCCTAAACCCAAACCCTAAGCCCTAGACTCCAAACCCTAAACCCAAAACCCTAAACCTAAACAAGGGCTTTGCAAGTCCTCTTCGGCCGGTGAGGAGTCAAAGGAATCCACCGTTGGTCGTGGTATGCGCGCCTGGAGTGACGACGCCGCTCGCCTCGTTTGTCGTAATATTCATGTTGCGGCGATTCTGCTCAAGCTTAGGGTTTAGGGCTTAAGCTCCGGCACAGCTGGCCGAACCGCGCAACTACCCTTAGATAAGGAGGATGACAAGAAGGCGAAAGAGGCGCTCAAGGAGCGCAAAAAGGATGCTTCCAAGAAGGACGGTGAGGAGAACAAGGCCAGGGATTGAATTACGGCTGTCTACTGAGTTGAGGGTTGAGATCTGGCTCGCACCCAAGCCCAGTTGCGAAAAGGGTTTTAGGGGGGAGATTGCCCCGCGTGTGCAGGAGGAAAGCAACGGCAAAGACAAGGAAGACTGGAGCAACTGGTCTGGCTGGAAAGGAGGCAGCCACAGAGTTTTCCAAAGTCTCCCCTGTGTGTGTGTGTGTGTGTGTGTGTTTGAGGGTCACCCCCCCCCCCCCCCCCCCAAAAAAAAAAAATAAAATCCGCGAAAAAAAGGGCCAGCATGCCTCCCTTAGAGAGCTCCGGAAAACGGGCGTGAGGTCCCCCAAGCTCTCCCTGATGTCCAGAATTCAGGGCAGCTGCACGTTGAATCGAGCCGAGGGTCTTGCAGAATTCCGGAGAACGTTCCCTGTAGTTCTGGGGACATCGCGTGTAGTTTGTTTGAGTCAAACCCAACGGGTTGTTTACACTTCTTCTTTTTCGGGTCCCTAGCCCGCTCGGAAAGGCAATGCCGAAAGCCTATACCCTATCTGACCTATTGAGCTTTAAAGCTTGGGCACACACCACACACAAATGTGTGTATGTATATATATATATATCTATTTCAGAACCGTGTTCTTTTGTTTAGCCCTCCCTTCCCTCCCCCTCCCCGGTGCTGCTCAGTTTCTTAACCCTAAACCCTAAACCCTATACCCTAAACCCTAAACCCTAAACCCCAAACCCTAAACCCTAAACCCTGCCCCCTGCTTGCCAGGTGGTGGGGGTGGCAACTCCTGGAAGTCCAATTGGAAGTCCCAAGGGGCCCAAGGATGGGGACAGAATCAGAAGTGGAAGGACGGTACCCCTAAACCCTAAACCCTAAACCCTAACAGCAAAGGGGGTGTTCTGGTTGAGGGCTCTTCGGAGGATCGGGGGACCTTATGTAGGAACGCGGCAGGGCTATGTTGGGTAGGACAACCACATTACGGACTAACCTTTTAGGGTTTTGGATTTTGGGTTTAGGGGTACTTTTTTGGGCACGTAGAGTTGATGACTCCACTTTCGTACCTACTGATATCGTCTCCCGATCCTCCAAGTTTCAAAGGGGCGTTCTAGGGTGTGAGGTTTCGAGTTGTGGGCTTCAGAGTTTTCAGCAACAGGACCCAGGCTGTGAGCTCGTGTTCCTGAATTCACGGCGCTTGTGTGGATTCTCCAAAGGGTTCTGAAGTATGGGCCCTTGATTTTATAGGGTGCGTTATAAGGTATGTCAGCCTGATTAAGGGCCCTATACAGGGACCGTCACAGTACCCTAAGAGTTGTTGACCGCCTGTGGTTGTGCTTTTGTATTTGCCCCGGCTTGTCGACATTTTGCGCAAAAAGTACCTTAACGACCCCAAAACTACTTTTGTCTTGGTTACAATGTGTTATTACCGTCTTAAGATTTATGCAAACCCTAAACCCTAAACCCTATGCTCTTGGTTCTTGAGGTGCAGTAGCTGCCTCACCATAGGATTGGAAAGCCGATGATGGCGGCAAGGACGGCTGGAAGCGACAGAAAGGCCGGTTCACCTGGGGCTGGAGGTTTAGGGTTTAGGGTTTAGGGTTTAGGGTTTAGGGTTGCTGTTGCAAGGTGCTGTGTAGGGCCCAAAATCCCAGTGCTCGAGCCTCCCTCTTGAACAGTTCGGAAGGCCGGTTTAACCTTGGGGTTGAGGTTTAGGATTTAGGGTTTAGGGTTTATTAGGGTTGAGGGTTTAGGGTTCAGGGTTGAGGGTTGAGGGTTTGGGGGGCTGAGGAGTTTCCACGGGGCCTTTGGGCGGTCAAGGCATTCAAGTATGAGCACGCTGAGGGAGGTTTAGGGCTTATGGCCAGTTGAAGCCCTACAGTTGAAACCCTAAACTCTTCCTAAACTCAAAGCCCCATGGTTGAGAGTTGGCGGTTCACGGGATACTGTACCCTAAACTCTGATTCAGGCTCCGGGCAAGGTTCCTTGGACGCCGCGCCGCCCGAGGATCGGCATGCTTCAGCTGGTTTTGCTGGGTCTAGCGTCACGGGATTCAGGGAGGTGGGGGGAGGTTAAGGGTTTAGGGTTTAGGCTTTAGGGTTTAAGGTTTAGGGTTTAGGGATTCGGGGAGGTTATACCGGTTTAACATCTTCAGATGCCCTCAGGGCCCAATCTAAAGCACGTCGTTCACTACATGCACTTAAGTCTCTAGGACCACCGCACGCAAGCGGTGTACAGTGTACAGGAAGGTCCCCCGCCTCCCTACAAGATACTGCAGATGTTGTTTCCGAAGGCTGCAATGCTCCTTGAGGGTTCAGGGGATGTGCTGAAGGCAATTCGCGCACAAACAAGTTCATGTCACCATCAGAGTGCGAGCAAAGTTCCCACCTTACTGCAGTGGCTCAATGAACCCGCCACCACTAAAACGGAAGTCGGAGATATTACTATAATAGTATTCCCTCATAGTCCCTGTTTATACTATACACCCCCAAACCTTAAACCCCGGTATTCGTCCTGTAGCCGAAGCTCGCCCTTTCCCCCGAGATCGAAGATGTTGTTATTTGTTGATTACTTCTCTGGGGTAGAGTGGCTAAAATTCAGGGACCCTAAACCCTAAACCCTAAACCCTAAACCCTAAACCCTAAACATTAAGATTGTTTTGCGAGCTGCAGGAATCGGCAGAGGAGCTGGAAAGACGAAGCGTGGCTGAGATCAGCAGACCAGACCCGAGAAGAAGAGGTTCCACACCTAAGCCCTAAGCCCTAAACCCTAGACCCTAGACCCTAGACCCTAGACCCTAAACCCTAAACCCTAAACCCTAAACCCTAAACCCTAAACCCAACCTTACGCAACTCTCTCCCGTCCTCCACCTCCCCCTCCCGGCAATGCTAAGCCTCAATTCTGAACCCGCAAATCGCCCTTGCAAATGACAAGCCCCTGCAGAAAAAGATGAGGGCCCGAACGCAATTGAACAAACCCTCAGGTCAAGCTTATGCACATTTTGAGAGTCAGTGGCATCATATTCATATCCTCAGACAGCTCCTAAGACCATCCTAAGATAGCCTAAGACAATGCCTTGGACTGCCAAAACCTTCAACCAATGTCCGCAGACCCAGAGAGGCCGAAACCTCTTAATCCCCAGGCAACATTGGGATCCGAGCTGCCCAGGTATTACAAAAAGTACTACAACGAGTCATTTGAGGTTGAGGTTGCTTGAAGTGAACGATTCCGCTCATGTTGTCTGGCACCTGCTCTACAAGCCTGCCCCTCCCCATCTCCCCAACGCGAAGCTGGGCATGAGAGCGAGACAGCGAACTCTGATTCCTCTGTACTGGGTTCTTGTTAACTATAGGATGTCCAGTAGCGCCCTTATTCCCTTTGGGGTTCAGGTTCCCTTACAAGCCCCTTTCATCAACAAAAGGCACCTTTTTCAATCCGAGTTACTGGGCAAACTAGTTAAAGACCTACGTAAAGTTTCTTACCATAAGTGGGATACGGTTCTTCTTCTAGGAGGTAATTAGTATGGGCCCTGTATTTGGGTTCCTTGCTATAGAACCCTTACTATATAGCCACTATACATAGCAAGGGCCCGTACTTCAGATCCGTAGAAGCACGGGCAAGGGACCACACGAAGGGCCCACGGTTCCAGCCTTAGATTTGACACTACGACGGCAGCTTGGTTACTAATAATTTGGGTTCCTTAAAGTAAACTCCAGAAAGTTGGAACATGGTTTAAGGATGATTAGAGCTGGGATTCTCTTTAGTGTACCTTTTGGGGTATGGGGAGAGGGATGTTCCAACTTTTTGGGGTTTACTATAACAAGAATGGGGTGAACTGAATTCTGCGCAGCATCTTGACGCCTCCAAAACCAGCTTAAATGGCTCATGTTGCTGAGCCCTGCGGCCTTGAAGAAGACATCACCCTAAGGTTTAACAAAGCCCGAGCCGCAGCGACGCTATGAAGAACCCAACAGCCGACCTTGCTGTAGGATACTTACAAGCATCGGGTCCACCTCACCCAGTGGTTTTAGGGTTTAGGGTTTAGGGTTTAGGGCAACAGAATGGCCTTTTTTCTTTGTTGGGGCCGGGGGGGGGGCGGGGGGGGGTTTGGGAGGGCATCTTGTTTTCAGAAGGTCCAGGCAGGATCACCGCAACTGTCCCCCCAATCTCAGGAAAGAAGCGTGCGGCGCGCTTCGAGACAACCGAGGTGGCCAAGCCGTCAACGACGATGCTTGGCATTTGACGACAGGGTTTCCCATTCTTTGCCAGGCTCAGACTGCAGAGTCTACTAGGGTTTAGGGTTCAGGGTTTAGGGTTTAGGGTTTAGGGTATTTGCTTACTTAAGAACCCCCAACAAAGATAACAATCCCCATATTGCCCTTATAAGGAAGAATATGTTTTCTTTCCACAGAGTCTACTACTTGCTTAATTAAGAACCCCCCCCCCAACAAAGATAACAATCCCCATATTGCCCTTATAAGGAAGAAGATGTTTTCTTTCTTGGGGGGTTCTTAAGCAATTAGAGGAGAGTAGCGGAGTAGCACATGCCATCACAAATCCGCTCCCTGCCCGTTTGCCAGCCCAGGACTTGCAAAATTGAATGGCTGGGGGCCTCAAGGGTGGTGGGTACTTGGAGGTTCAGGGTTTAGGGTTTAGGGGTTCAGGGTACTTATTAACCCAACTGTAACTGTACTTATAACCCAAGTATAACCATATTCGGGCACTTAAGGGGCTGATAAGTGGGTTGCAAGTACAGTTAGAATTGGTTATTAGTAGGTACTACGCAGCTGCCTTGCGCATTCGATGGCTAGATTTAGGGTTTGGGGTTTAGGGTTTAGGGTTTAGGGTTTAGGGTTTGGCCAAAGCCAGGTGTGCGCTTGTTTTGCAGGGTTGAACCTCACCCTTCCTTCAGTGTTACTCCCAGGCCTCGAAAAAACATGCCCGGCATTTAGGGTTTAGGGTTCAGGGTTCAGGGTTTAGGGTTTAGGGTTATAGTACCCCCTCTTATATCCCCAATTATGGACTGTTAGTATAAAGGGGGAACATCCCAACCCTTAACTCTGAGGAAACAAAACCCAGCAGATCTTGTGCTACTAAACCCCAAATTCAACCCTATCTGAGCCCTTGCTACCACCCGGACGAAGCCCTGTGAGCCCTGCACTCCAAACGAAAGCAAACCCGGCTCTTTTGCTTACCCTTAGGGATGCTTGGAAATAGTTCTATATTGGGTGCCATACTTCCTAAGAAACACCTACACTTGTGATTTTTTGCCAGGGTTCCAAGTTCAGTATCGTCCCGAGGTCCGCAGCGCCGGAAAAGGAGGCAAACGGCGAGGCTGCGGGCGAAGCTGGCGAGGAGGCAGTCAGGGGATTTCGGATTTTGCACTTGCTGTAGGGGCCTTAAGAATTAGAATTGGGTTTGGGAGCTATTGTAGTGTAGTTACAAGGGGGCCACAAGGGAGTACCCTTAGCAATTCTTCCGACCCCTATATTGCTTGGCCAGTTAAACTTGTTGGGCTTCCTTGTTTAGTAGGAAGAAGAAGGTTTGCAACCCCTTCTTCCTTGGTTATTGGAGAAGCAAGATCAGGACTCAGGGCTCTCGGGTTTCGAGTTTTCGGTATTTCGGGGTTGCTTTCGATTTGACGCTCTCGATGTTCAAGGTTTAGGGGGGTAGCCCTAAACCCTTAACCCTAACCCCGGTTGCAAAACCGGGGGTAGCAAGACACATTTCTGCTCCCCGCCCTTTAGGAGAAGAAGCCAGAGACAGAAGAGGCAGAAAAGGCTGCAGAAGAGGAGCTTGCAGCAAAGGGTTGGGGGTTCGGGGTTCAGGTGTTGGAACTACCGGAGGTTGAATTCAGTGAACAGGTCCTTATGTACTTCTCTTCGGTAGTATTGGTGTGCGCTCTTAACAACCTGTAAGCGCAATAAGGCTGCACACGGCAGGGCTGTGTTTATAATATGAAACTCAGGCACACGGCTCACTTTGCTCACTTAATCCTTTCTTCTTACCTTGAGACCCAACCTCTGTTTCCAAGCCACTAAGACCCAGCATAGACATCATGAGTCTTTCTACGTGACAGGAACTCTCTTGACAAGGACCCTCTGTTCCTGAGACTGTATTCTGAAGAGGCGGTTTGACCTCTGCTTTTGGTTTACCCTTGAATTTCCTGGCTTGTTCAACTCTTCCCCCTTAATTATAACAGTACACGGGGGTACAAATGTTTTGGCATCATGTTTAAAGGACCTTTCATGCTGTCTTTTTCGAGGGGCCTTCACCTCGAGCCCTAACTTCCAAAACCTCAAATTCCTAAACCCAAATTTCTAGACCCTAAACCCTAAAACCCTAAACTCTACTAAGCCCTAAAGCCAAAGAACCGTCGGGGCGCTGCTGGAGGTCCTCTCACCCTGGGAATCCAATGAACCCTCTCAAATTGGGGTTTAGGGTTTAGGGTTTAGGGTTTAGGGTTTAGGGTCTTGAGACCCTAGACTACTATTAATTACTGCTAAAGGTATACCCTATACTACAATAGTTCTTATGAAGGTATGTGAGCCCTAAACCCTTTCAGGGTTCATTTAAGTCCCCAAGGTCACGCACAGACGCGCACACCCATCGATTTCAAGAATCTCCGCGGCCATTTTGGAAAGGAGCGTGCAAAGCAGATGCGAAGCGATGGGGTGTGGCTTGGCAGCTTCAGATGGCTTTCAAAGGCCCCTCAACCCTAATCCCTAAACCCTTAGGGTTTAGGTTTCAGGGTTTAGGGTGGTTCTAGCCTACCAAGGAGAATTTTGTCTGCAGTATGTTACTTGAGGTGATGACTACGAGACTGTACGGCAGTATGAGCCCTTGAAGGCCCAACCCTACACCCTGAGTCTGAGCCCTAAACCCTAAACCCTAAACCCTAAACCCTAAACCCTAGACCCTAGACCCTAAACCCTAAACCCTAAACAAGGCTTCCTCCGGGGTTTTGGCTGGGAGTCGGCATTTGAGTCGTCGAGTTGTTGTCGCGTTCTGTGATTCGCGCTCTGGGCACTTCCTTGACGAAATGAACCCTGAAATTGGGGGGGCTTAAGGGGGGGTCATGCACCCTACACTTCTATGATTCCAACTAGGGTATATGAACCACCAGCCCCTTTTAGGGTTCATTTGGTCCTCAAGGTTATCTAGCCTTTTGGGGTTCATCTGGTCCTCAAGGTTATCTACTATTTGCTGAAGAACCTCCCCAAGAAATAGAAAGATCTTCCTGAAAAGGGCAAGATAGGGATTGTTAATTTATTATGTGTTTTTGTTTTTGGGTTGGGGGGGGGGGGGGGGTACTGTGCCTCCGAGGCACCACCGGTCTGAAAGCGAGGATGATTAGGCGCGCAAACCCCAAGAAGCCCTTATGGGTCCCTAGGTAACCTACAACCTCTCGGGTTCTTTAGTAGGGAATGAGGGAATGAGGGCCCTGCAGAACCCCTCAAAGGGTATATGTAGGGCCAAGAACCCCTTAGATTGGCTTAGACTAACAGTCCTTAGCAGGGATACTCGTATCCCCTCTGATACTCCCTATTACGGCCTGTTAGTGTAAAGGGTGAACATCCCAACCCCTTGTAGGTCCCTTAATTAGGTAACCTACGATTTAAAGTCGGTTCCGGGCTCCTTAAGGGGCCCTTTTCGCACGTGCGACTCTGGGCTCATGCAAACAAAGGCAACTCGACCTTTGGGGCCCTCACACTCTAAACGCTTCGAAGTTCATTGTCTATAAGGGTTAGGGTTTACGATTTGGGTGAACACATCGGCTTGGGGCATCTCAACTTGGCTGCCAAGACATAGTGGTGCCGTGTTTGAGGGCAGTTACTGGGTAGTTCGGGCATCCTGACCCAAAGTAAGGCAAGGCTTTCGGTATGGAGTGCGGGACAGTGGGGATTCTTAATGTTCTGAGTCTTGTTGGGGGCACGCTGCGAATCCAACTGCCAGATCCCTGCAGCCCAAAACCCACAACTTGATCCGTCAATCCCCTCCACTAATAATAAACAAATTCACGCCTCACCCCCCACCCCCCCCCCTACCCCGTAATACGAAATACCTCCTTATATTGTAACACAACGATACTGGGGGAGATGTAATATTGGGGGGTAGGGTGGGGTTTAATATTAGAGGGAGGAGATTACCCCTCGCGACATTTTTTTTAGCGATCCTAAGTTGATCATGATTCACAAAAAACCCTCTCCAGCGACCCTCTCCCTTGTCATAGTGGAGTAGCATTTTACACTTTTCAGGGTACGTAAACTCAATAGGGAATATAAGTTTAAATCTTTGGTACTTCTTAACCCTATACAATAACCGTACTTATACCCCAATTATAGCCATATTACGGCATTTAAGGGGATTGTAAGCGGGTTATAAGTACAGTTATAGTTCTGAGTACCATGAACCTCCAGACCCTAATCCCTAAACCCTAAACCCTAAACCCTAAACCCTAAACCTCCAAGTGGTCACAAGTGACCTGGATCCTTTGGTCGCCAGGATGCTTTGTCCTGCGGGGCACGGGCTGTGGCAATGTCGCACTCCCGAGGCTAACACAACCGTCACCACAGACGTCGGCAAGTGCAAAAGACCGAAGCCAGTCCTTTCTAGGGTTTAGGGTTTAGGGTTTAGGGTTTAGGGTTTAGGGTTTAGGGTTCAGGGTTCAGGGTTTCAGGGTTCAGGGCTCAGGGTTTAGGGTTTAGGGTTTTCCGAGAGTATGATGTAGCGGTGACCAGGTTAAGGGAGTATCATGACAACCACTATTTGCTCACCCCCCCCCCCCCCCAAAAAAAAAAAACAAAATATAAGGTTTTGTTTTCACATCTTAAGCAGATAGTACAGGATGTCGGGTTTGGAGGAGAATCGATGCTTGCAGCCTTTCGAGCCGTGCCTGGAGGTGCTGGAGGTTGCAGGATTCTGCGTGTGATGGGTTCCAGTTGTGTATCGGGATAATTACAAATATTATTCCCTTATGGTCCCTTTGCAATCATACTATATAATAACCCCCCCCCAAAAAAAAAAAAAAAACGTGTTCCAATTTCTCAGGCCCCTATAGTACCTCGCCTACTGCGTGGTGTACGCATGTGCCTCCTCTGCAACACTTGCAGTACTTACCATTGTACTACAATACTTCATGGTGCTTCGGAACTCATCCCCCGACAGCCCCTAGGCACCAGGACCACATTGACCTGCAGCATCTGGCCCATAGCACCGTCACAGCTACGTCCCCTTATAGTACTCAAAGTGGTAGCCATCCTTGCTCTGGGTCTTCAGCGCTGAGGACCTATGCAGGGGCTGCACTTCTTCGACTTCTTTCCTTGAACGGACCAACCCACACTGCCGCATGCACTCAAACTCAAGCTCCGAAAACAGCGTCTCTTTCCATGTGCCTTACGCACTAAACTGCACTTCCCCCCCCCAAGCCCAAGTCCAGCCAGCATCAGAGCTCCGAGTCCTGATTGCCGGGAGCATGCGTGTGCTGCTCCGGCTGCTGACAGCGCTGGCGCTGCTTCGGTGGTTCTTGGGCTGCCGGCCTGCGCAGGCCAAGAGGAGTGGTGGAGTTTCGGATCAGTTCAGGGTTTTTGTAGGGTTGGTTTAGGGTTTCGGGTTTTGGGTTTAGGGTTTAGGGTTTAGGGCCGTATTCCTAGTAAGGTAGTATATGAACCATAAACTCACTTAGGGTTCATGTAGTCCCCAAGGGTGCTTGTTTTACGCCTGCTGTTGTCACGCTTTGGCAGACTCACAGCTCCGCGGTCTCCTCACTGTCTTAGTTGTTTGATTTTTGGCTACCAAAACGGGAGAGCTTCTGTGATTGCAAAGTTTTTTGGGCAAGGGCTCGCACCTCTAAGCCCTAAGTAACAATCCACACTCCCCAAGTAATTACCCTTAACGATTAGCATAAGAAGGTCAGGGACCTTGTTGCGAGGTACTTGGAAGGGTTTCAGCAAGCCCTAAATCCTTAAACCACAAACCTTACACTCCAAGCCCCAAACCTACACCCTAGAAACCCTAAATTCTTAAACCCTAAACCCTGTATCCCAAATTCCCAAAACCCTACACCCCTAGAAACCCTGAATTCTTAAACCCTAAACCCTATATCCCCATCTAATTCCCAAAACCCTACACCTACAAGCCCTAAACCCTAAACCCTAAACCCTAAACCCTACACCTACAAATCCTAAATCGCCCCCAGTGACTTGAGGCTTTCGCGGGCGTCAAAAGCGACTTCCGACGCCCAGCTGCCTCGAAGGCCCCTGGGGCCCATCATGGTCCATGGTTTAAAGGGTTTAGGGTTTAGGGTTTAGGGTTTAGGGTTTAGGGTCCATGGTTTCAAGGGTTTAGGGTTGAAGTTCAGGGTCTTATGGGCTCTACTTGGAGGTTCGTGGTACTTATTAACCAAGTACACCTGTACTTATCACCCACTTCTATGCCCCTTAAGTGCCCTAATATGGTCATAATTGGGGTATAAGTACAGATTATTGGTTTAATAAGTACCCCTAAACCCTAAACCCTAAACCCATGAACCTCCAAGTAGGCCGTTTGAGGGCGAGAAGGTGGGCAGAATGCAGGGCTTTTGCGTGAGGTTTAGACTTGCCAAGCAGTTAGAAGTTGTCGGGTTTTGGGCTGTAGGCTTCTTTCTCTTGGGGATATTTGGAAATGCTTTTGTTTATTTTTGGGGTACAAGGATTCCTAAGAAACAGCTAAAGTCACAATCTAGGGTTTCAAGTTCAGTAGCGCTTTAGGGTCCAGAGCATATTAGACCTTGCGGTTTCTTGAACTTTTCGGGCCCGTGATGCCTGGTTTGGGACGTGCAGACACTTGGGAATGTGGGTCTGCTCCTTACTTGGAGGTTCAGGGTACGTCTTAACCCAATAATAACTTTACTCATCACCAAATTATAACCCTATTCGGGCACTTAAGGCGCTTATATGTGTGTTACAAGTGCGGTTGTAATTGGGTTGAACAGTGCCCTGAACCTCCAAGTGCTCCGAACTGACCTGGCTTGCCCACCTCCTAGTCGCAGAGATTTTTTGTCGTGAATGGAATTGCTCGTGTAAGACTACGCATCCTGACCAAAGCATAAATGTTGATTGCTAAGAACCAAAAAACAATAAGTCGTTTTTACAAGAATGTCCATAACAATCTTAAATTGACAAACTAGTATGTTCACAGTTGTCGTTTTTTTCGTTTTTTAACAAATATATTCTGTGAACATGCTTGCAACAAATAGTCCAAAACAACGACGACCACAACTACGACAACAACGATAACAGCGGTAGTATTCGACGTTAGTAGTCGTCCTTATGTCTGTTGCTACTAGTACGAATATGCCAACAAGACTGCTACTCCTCGTGATGATGGTACCTAATATTTTAGTACGAGCAACAGCCGAATAGTTCGAATGATTGACGCTCAGGAAACATCAGGCTTGAACGCTTGCTTGGGGGTCTTCGGACTTGGGGCTTATGAGAGGCCTTCCTCAACACTGCTTGGAAGCCCTTTTGGCTCAGAAAGTAGGGTTGGTAAGGCGGGTTATGGGGATAACTATAGGGGTTCTAGGGGGTACTAGGTAGACTTACAAAGTCAACAGGGCGTCCAAGTAGATCCAGTTCAATCCGAAGCCCTACCTGAAGCTAAGATGCCCGGGAGCCTTATTCCCAGTTTGGCGGATCTAGGTTTCTGTGGGAGATGAACTTAAGCCACCTTAGTCTCACCGCCGCGAAAGACCCGGCTGCATGGTCCCAAAATCCTAAGCCCTAAACCCTAAACCCTATCCCCAAACCCTAAACACTGTGAAGCTGCGATCATTCTCGAAGAGCCCCTAGGACAGCCCGGAGAGCATTTAAGTACACAGTTTAGGGTTTCAGGGGTCAGGCTTCAGGGTGTCGGGCTCAAGACTGTGGACAAAGGGTTTAGGGTTTAGGAAACCCTGAATCTTGAACCCTAAACCCCAAACCCCAAGCCCTAAGCCCCTAAACCCAAAACCCTCTTTATAGATAGTATGTAAACCTTATAGTATTCGTGGGCAATGGCCATTTTTCGTGGGCCATGGTAATTTTTCGTGGGCATTGGTCAAAACTCGCGGGCAATGTTCAAAACTCGCGGGCAATGGTCAAAACTCGCGGGCAATGGTCAAAACTCGTGGGCATTGGTCAAAACTCGCGGGCAATGTTCAAAACTCGTGGGCAATGGTCAAAACTCGCGGGCAATGGTCAAAACACGCGGGCAATCGTCAAAACAGTTCTAATGTTATAACTGGTGCTAATACTAAATCCTTAACATTGCCATTCGAATTCTCATCCTTTAGATCATTTCGTTCATTTGTTCGTAAACTCACTTCATTCACTACAT